TATATATATATACAGGGTGTATAAAAAAAAACTGAACAGATTTGAAATTGCTCTCAATTTTGCAAAACACCTATTTGTATCTGGTTTTTTATATATATAGCTTCTTTGGGTACTTATAATGTAAAATAATGAAAAAAATTTCTCGAACTCAAATTCTGTGAACCAGGGGGGTGTGTCTTTCCCAACAAACTAAAAATGGCTTGCACACAAAATTTAAAAGCTCTAATCATATTTTGAGTTAATAGATTGAAAATTTGTCGGGTTTTTAATTACTGTACAAAATTTCAGACAATTTGGTTTAGTTTAAGCCCTTTAAGTATTCATTTTGTTCTAAAAAGTCAGCCTTTCGCATGCTTAATTAATGCCTTTACCTAATTTGCATATTGCTGACATATGCAAATTAGGCAAATGCATTAATTAAGCATGCAAATAGCTGATTTTTAGGGAAAATTGTAACTTTGCGTGAATAGTTAAGGGGCTTAAACTAAACCAAATTGTCTGAAATTTTGTACAGTAATTAAAATCCCGACAAATTATCCATCTGTTAACTCAAAATATGATTGCAGCTTTTAAATTTTGTGCGCAAGCCATTTTTAGTTTGTTTGAAAAGACACCCCCCCCTGGTTCACAAAATTTGAGTTTGAGAAATTTTTCTCATTATTCTACATTATAAGTACCCAAAGAGGCCATTTATATAAAAAACCGGATACAAATAGCTGTTTTGCGAAATTGAGAGCAATTTTAAATCTGTTCAGTTTTTTTTGATACACCCTGTATAGGAACTAGAACATGCCACGTTCGAATTTCAGATTTAAATATGATGTAGCAATGACGTCATCACAACAACTTAAAATTGTGTCAGGAATTGTTTAAAGGATGATAATTTATTCTATGTAGGCATATATGACAAAATTAGTTGGAATTGCAGAAAATATCGAATACGATAAGAATTCGTCATAATATTATTTTAAGTTTTGTTTTTCAATTTTTTGGACAATATTAATTTTTGTTTACAATGTTCATTAATTCATCGTAATGACTCAAAAGGTTTCAAGCTAGCAAGATATACGTCCATTAAAGCTAATGAGTTTATTTTGTAAATTAATGTGTTTTAAATTTAATTATGTCTGAGATTGCGGCGGGTTTTAATGATAATTCGTATAATGAGATTGATACTGCATGAGAGCAGCGTAAAAGAAATTAATTTTGAATTATTTTAATTATGTATGTTTTAATAATTAATGTTACTGTAAGCCAACAATACGTGTAGAAATGAAATAATTCTTGCGGTGTTTCTTTGGTTTTCAATGCAGTTTTTCCCCATCAGGACAAGTAAATAAGGTATTCCATTTCTAGTAGATGTAAAATTAAATTTATTAAAGTTCCAGTGTTGCAAACTAACTTGAGATCAGTGCAGTTGTGTAACTAAAGCGGGAAAATTGAAAGATAAAACACGAAGAAATAAACTCGAGAAAATTGGCAAGAATCGCACAAAAAGCGTATAGTCTCAGTAAAAAATGTACATGCTTTAATTCAAGAATGTGGTAGCAGGAATCAAGGTATATAAAATGAAACGTTTTGGCCATGCGTGTCGGCGGTGACAAATTTTGACTTATATCCCAATGAGATTGTCTTATATATTGTCATGAGCGTACCGGGAAAATAGCACTGAATAAGATTCAATGACATTCCTACCAAACTGAATTGGTAAATCAGTCAATCTATCCAAAAACATCCGTTCTTCCCGATTTTTCTATATATATAATTCAGTAATTGTATCCGCCCTGTCAGTACATGTATTTCCTTCCATATCGAAATGTCTTCATTGTTCATCCCAAAGGCATAAAGTTATACAAATAACATCTATGTTCATATGTAGAACCCATTGTGCCGCCCGAAGGGCAAAGATGGTTCCAAGAAGGGCAGATTTGCGATTTGTGCTAGGTCTTTCGCCCCCAGACTCTCTTCAGCGCGCCTATAGTGTCGTAGAAAAGACAGGAACTAGGCTGGTGCTTGCCCTTGAACATAGCCTTACTATGCTCAAGGGCAGTACTTAATCTTGATCAAAACTTAATCCAATCTTTGAACTTGGTCAATTAAAACGCTATCCAGTTTGAATACAGGA